TTGGGGTTAATGTCTTCTACCTCGTTCTATGTAAATTTTCAAAGTCTTATGGATCTTTACACTGGCCGTTCAGATCCTGTAAATATTATGTATCAAACGGTATCAGTCTATAGTAGCGTAAAAAATATTTATTGGTAGGTCAAAAGTAGACTTAAACGTAATTTCAAATGGAAGAATAACGTGTTGGCTAAGGTACTAATACTACAAGACTACGCCCCAAATCAGCGTCTATCCTAATTTATAATAAATTCATTAAATTAAATACAACACGTGTGTTAGCTTTTGCAATAGCCACGTGTGTAAACTTTGTAGTTATGAAACAAAACTTTTATAGCATATTGCAATAAGTTTGACATACTTTAATTTTAAAATATCTATTTAACAAAGGTAAAATTCAGCTAATGTGAAATTACATTAATTTGATTAGTTGTATTTGAACAATGCATTTCAATGGTCTTGAATGCTTTCCCAAAGTCAACAAACACAAGCACCAGTGACCTATTATTGTATTCGATTGTTTTCTAGATAAGTAACTTTATTGTGAGAAAACGACCATTGTTTCGTATCTAAGCATGCTTGATGAGAAGTTTGGTTTTTGCTACAATCTCTTATTTATTAGATTATAATAGTTTGATAATAAGCCGGTAAGTTAATAGTGTCAACTGTTTTATGTATCAGGATCATCAGCAACTTATTCCAACTTTATAGTGACGAGGCATTATATAGCGATAAACTGAAAAGTTTTTTAATGAGTCTAATAAGGTGTGCCTTCAATTTTTACTGCTTCTTCAACTATTGTGTCTTGCCTTGGAGATTTATTATTTTTAATCTCTTGTAGTGATTTTTTAATTTCTTCGACTGTGATTTAGTGCAGTTCCTTCGATCGTTTATTGATTTGTATGGGTTTCATAACCTACTTCCAATTTACGTCTGTCTATCTGGAGTATTTCTTCCTTATTGGTTGATTCTTTGCTGTGTCTGTCCAGAAGCTGTAAGTTTTGTCTTTTGTATTGTGCCAGTTTCCTTCTCAAGAACTTCAAAATTTTATTATCATCGTCAGTTTTATTTTAGTTTCAATCATTTGCTTAAAAATTTTGCGATGCAAAAATTTTAATATAGATAGGAAGAATATATTAGTTTGTGAAGTAGTATATAGGGAAGATTACAGTAGTATGCTCTACATTTACTAACAAAATATACACCCATTTTGTACCTATATACTGGTTTACATCTTAGACATACATAAATAGATTGTGCGTTTCATCAGACAAAGTGAAGGGACCATCTTTTCTTAAACTTTTTTTTGTTTCTGTCTTTGTGTACGGAGGTAGGAGAAACTTCTCACAAGCTGCTACTCCCACTGCTACAGAGAGAGAGAGAGGGTAAAATAAAATAACGAGCTGGAGAAAGATATAGGAAATTAGTTGAGAGATTTTGTTTACATTGGAAACTGCTGACTTGCTCAGTCTATTTTATATATGTCTTTGGTTTACATAATAGAATATTTTGATGCATAAACTTTTGTAAAATGGTATTTTAGTTACGATTGTAGCACATTAGAACTTTGTAGAGACTCATCAAATGAGGTTTTTATCCTTCATGTAAGGCAGCTGTGTGTAAAGATATTAATGTTTACTACACTAATCTTTTTCCAGCATCATATTTGTAATTGAGCAAAAGAACATATTTTTCCTAATCTGATCTTCATTTTACAGAATATTTTGTTGATTAGTCTTATATAAATACCTATGTATACAAAATATTAAATTTTTTATTCCTTTATTATAGATGTTTTTATAAGAATGATTTTTTATATTTTTCTTTCTGTATTTTCACATACAGATACAAATTATATATACGAGTTAAAAGTATATATTTTAATGTTTTGTAAAAATTGTAAATAATAAATATATTGAAGTGGCTATAATTGTATTTTTTATATCCATTTCCATAATTCAATATCCAATTTAGATTAAGAGCTGATTACTCCACATATAATCCATTGATCTTCTTTCTTTATGTGCCGTCTTCTACCGAAGGTTGGCGACCATCATACGATAGGTTTCTCTGTTTTGTGCCGCATGAATTATGTTCGCAGCTTCTGGTATTTAAAACCATTCTCTCAAGTTTCTCAGCCAGGATTTCTTCCTTCTGCCCAAACCTCTTCTACCTTTAATCTTGCCTTCCACGATAAGTTGTAGCAGACTGTACTTATCATTACGGAACACATGGTCCAGGTATGACGCTTTCCTCCTTTTAACAGTTGTTAACAATTCCACCTCTTTACCCATTCGTCTTAATACCTCTGTGTTGGTCACTCTGTCTGTCCAAGGTATTCTCAGTATGCGTCGATACAGCCACATTTCTAGAGCCGCTAACTTCTTTATAATTGCTGCTGTTAACGTCCACCCTTCTACGCCGTAAAGTAGCGTAGAGAGTACGTAGCATTTCGTGGCGCGCCATCGGAGGTTAATACTTAGGTTGCGGTTGCTTAAGAGCTTTCTCATTTCAATCCATTGATAGAAGCAGCAATCTTCGCATCTCAGGCAATAAGTGGACACCATAGATCCGCAATAGATGTCCAGAAAGAATTTTTGATCAGGTCTAGCACACAGTCCTGATCGAAAAACTCCAACAAACATGGTGCCAATTCCGTTCCTCAGAATCATATCTTCATACCCCTCTGCTCCAACTCTCAGTGTCACGTGAGAGAAAAGTGGAAAAACTATCAACTCACTTCACTCTTCAAACAACACTTAATACTAGCGCTTATACTATACTATCATCATTGGATCCACAACCCATGGTGGGTCTTGGCCTGCTCAAGGGTAACTCTCCATTCTCTCCTATTCTTCGCCTTGTCTTTTCAGTTTCGTACTCCCACCACTCTCAAGTCTTCCTCCACCTGATCCTTAAATCGTGCTCTGGGTCTGCCTTTCCTTCTCACTCCATCTATTCTTTGGTTAGAAATATGTTTTGGTGGCTCCATCTCATTCATTCTCTCTATCTGGTATCTCTCTATCAGGCGGTAAAGTTCGAAATTATAGCGTCTACGCCATAATCCGCCCTCCTGTACTTCATAGATATGCCGGAGGATTTTACGCTCAAAGCATCTTAAACGTTCTTCATCGCTCTTTGTCAACGTCCATGTTTCCGACGCGTAGGTTAGGATGGGCTTGATAAGAGTTCTGTATATCACTAGATTCGTTCTTTTTGTAACTAGGCTTGTTAAAAATTTTATTAATCCTTAATAGCCTCTATTTGCCAGATATATCCGTCCGTTAATTTCTGCACTTACTGCATTATTCTGATTAATTTGTGAGCCTAGGTATATAAACTCTCTTACTCCTTCGAAAGTATATTTTCCGATCGTAAGTTCTTCGGGTTGAGCTGCTTGTATATAATTTGATACTTTCATATACTTCGTCTTACTAGTGTTAACCTCTAGTCCCATTCTTTTTGCTACTGCTTCAAGCGCCTTCAATGACTCGACCACGTCCGCCTTTCTTCTTGCAATAAAGTCGATATCATCGGCGTACGCTAGTAACTGTACGCTGTGATTAATAATAATTCCTCTGGTTGTTATTCCAGATTCTTTTATCGCTTTCTCTAGCGCAATATTAAATAAAAGGCCTGATAGGCTGTCTCATTGTCTAGTCCTATCTGAGACTGGTCACCAATTTTACTAAGTGTATTGTGAACTCTATCAAGGCCTTGTACAGTGCGGTTTCGTGAACACTATCATAGACACATCTAAAATCAACAAACAGGTGATGAGTATCCAAGCCATACTCATGTTTTTTCCAGAGCTTGCCTTAGAAGGAATATTTGATCGATCGCTGCTCTTTCTTTACGAAACCCACACTGATATTTACCTATTTTATGTCTTCACAAAATCCCGATAGTCGGTAGTAATAAAGAATATATGCCAATATTTTGTATGTTTCGTTTAGGAGGGTCTCTGTCTTCTTCTTCATGTACCGAGCTCGATTATCGAGCGTTGGCTATAGTAATTTTGTTGACGGCAGCTCGGAAAAAAGATGCAGAGGATCTGTTCTCTCTCAGTCACATATTGTTTGATCTTCTTTCTTGTGGATAGGTACAATACCTACTTTCCAGTCTTCTGGCAACTTTATTTGCTTCCAGATCAGTTCTACCAGTCTGCATATACAGTATGTCAGGTTTTTTTGCCATGATTTAAAAGTTCTGAAGGAATGCCATCTGCCCCATGAGCTTTGTTTTCTTTTAATTTCTGTATACCTAGCTTGGATGACTTATATTTAGCATTTCCTCGAAGTTTTCTGCCCATCTTTCTAGTATCTGGTCCTGATCACCAATGATCTCCCCTGTTCTATTTCTAACGATTGATAATCGAGATTTGAAATCTTTCCTGTTCTGGTTAATCTTCTTGTACAACTTTCGCGTTTCTGCGTATGTCTTATAGTTGTAGTTGTAGTTCTTTTAGTTGACTATATATATGCTCTTTCTTCTTTTTTTAAGTATTCGTTTTTCTTCTCGTCTCAGCTGCCTATACTCTTCCTCTGTTTTTCTCGTTCTTCGCCCTTACAGTCTTCTATATGCCTAATTTTTTCTTTGCGTTGCTTGTATGCATTTCTTCTTCCAATATGGTTTTACATAATGGGATCATGAATAAACGGAAGATGTGCAATAAGCTGAAGTAAGACCGGTTTATAACAGACGGCTAACTCAAAGAGAATACGTAAGATGTAAGTGAGTTCTGTGTATCAAGTGGTACACAGATAAATTTCTTCATCCTCTTAGAACTAAATTGCAAAACAGTTGTTATACACTAAGGTGTATACCTTTACACAGACAAGATACACAATATAATATATTTGTACATGTACATAATTATTATATTATAATAATATACAAAATATATCTATGAGCAACTCGAAACTATCGTAGTAAGATAATAAACTATGATAATAAACTTTAACAAAGAAGAAGAAACGTATTTACTCTATTTACTTTTGACTTCTAAACAAAAAAGAAGAAAGTTAGGTTAGGAAAAGAAATTTAATATAATAGTTGTTTTATTTAAATGTATGCTTCTTAATTTAATAATTATCTCATTTTCTTTTAAACTAATGAAATATCTTTATAATTTAAGTGTTTGCAAACTACATTGACTAAAATATGCTGCCGGTAAGACTCGTCCAACCTATGCTAGCCAGAAACTATAAGACCATTTATAAAGTACAACCTTTAGTATATTATTTATCATCAAAACGCCATCAGTCCACCAAGCAAAAGGAGAAAAGCTTGACTTCATCCACTAGAGGAGATCTAGATACTAATGTTAAACCTTTGGGAGAAAAAGTAAAAGAAACTACAAAAACTGTGTCATATTTAGGAATAATAGCTTTTGGGTTGGTTGTAACGGGTAGTTTATTTTATGCTGTCTTCAATGAACTATTTTCAAGGTATGTAATACTTCATATTTTACATTAAAATGTTTTTGAACAGTTATAATCAAGGATTTATTGTTATATTAAACAACATTTATTATAACAATAATAATAACAATAAAAAGTAGTCTTGAAGGACATTTTAGACCATGCCTTCTATATACCAGGGAAAATACAAACATCTAGGCTCTATATCAAGTACAACACATGTATTGATTCGGTGCAGATTGGGAATACAAAATTCTTGTAGTTGTAAAATAACTACATATCGTCGTCAACCATGCACCACCACGTAACTCATTTTTAACTTACAGGAGAGCAATATCAAAATAACTTACTTTTGTTGACAACAAACCCAGCAAACCAGTCCTCCTGGTAATAGTTTTGGTATGGGAATAGAATAAGATACATGGTGTTTTGGTTAGAAATGTTGTATGTAGTGTTGGTTTATTGCGATTAAAGCAAAATCTGTTGAGATTTTTTCAAATCTAAGTTATTCAGATATATTCTGTGTGAAATTTCACATCAAATGGAACAAAAATGCCATTTATAAAAAAAATTAGTTACATGGTTGAAGTACAAATACTGATAAACTGTAAGCTATACAGAGAAAATGATTATGTCAATGATGTTAGACTAAGAAAAGCCTTAAAACACTTTTTGGAATTTTTCTGGATGGGGCTACGTAAACTTTTTTCAAAAATTTTTCAATTTCTCACATTGATTAAAATAATTATCATTTTAATTGATGTTATATCAGTAATTTTGTATAATTTTTTTTACTGTAAGTAATCCATAAGTCAACTGATCATCAATGTCTACACTTTTCTTTTATTGCAGTAAAAGTCCCAACAATATTTATTCTAAAGCTGTAAAAAAGTGTCTAGCTGATCATAGAGTAGAAGATAAACTAGGATTACCAATAACAGCTTATGGTGAGCAGACTCGTAGGGGTAGGAGGCAGCATGTCTCACATGTGGTGTATACTGGAAGAGATGGAAGAAAACATTTAAGAATGAAGTTTCATCTAAAAGGATCTTTTCACTCTGGTACTGTTCAATTAGATATGGCTGAGGTATGTTATATGTTACCAGTTAAAACGAGTTAGTACTAAAGGGAATTAATGGGGAAAATCATAAGAAAATATACATAAAAAAAATATAAACTAAGAAGCTGCACATCCTTAAGTTGACTTTACACTTCATGATTTATCATGTGATTTGTCATATGATTTGGTCATGAAGTCAAATTTCCATGTTTACCATGTTTACAGGATAGGACAGTACCTATTCCGCATGATAAAATCATATCATCAACCCTTTTTGGGTCTTGGCCTGTTCCAGGATTCTTCTCCATTCTGATTTGTTTCGCGTTTTTTTTTTCTCCAGTTTTTTTATTATATCATTTTCTATTTGTTCTAAGTATCTGAGCTTCAGTCTTCCTCTTGTTCTTTTTCCTACTGGCATCTATTTGAATATTTTGTTTGGCATTTCGCCTTCTTCCATTCTTTCTACATGTCCTATCCAATGCAGCTGTCCTATTTTAATGAATGTTATAATATCCGGATCCTGGTATATTTTGTATAGTTCAAAGTTGTATCTTCTTCGCCATATTCTGTTTTCTTTTGTGCCCTTATATATGTGTCGAAAGATTTTTCTTTTGAAGGCGGCTAACAATGTTTCCCCTCTTTTAGTGAGTGTCTGGGTTTCTGAGCCTATGTGAGTACCGGTCTTATTAACGTTTTATATATTTAGCATTATGTTTTTCTTGCGACGTTATCTGATCTTAGTTGCCTAATTAAGCCATTGTAACACTTGTTGGCAATAAATATTTGCCTCTTCACTTCCTCCGCATCGTTATTATCAAACGTGACTAGGGATCCCAAGTATATAAAGTTTTTTACCCCCTCAATGTTGTATTCTCCTATTGTTATATTTTGTGGCTGCCTTATTTCTGCGTTTTTACTTACCTGAATATATTTTGTTTTGGTCTGATTGATTTTAAGACCACTATTTTGAGTAACTCCTTCTATTTGGTTGTATGCCTCTATCATTTCTCTTCTTGATCTTGCGGTTATGTCAACATCATCTGCAAATGCTAGTATTTGCACGCCTTTACTAATGATTGTTCCTCGAATATTGACTGTTGTGTCCCTCAGTATTTTCTTGAGTATGATATTGAACAAGATGCATGATAGAGCGTCCCCTTGGCGTAGTCCCTTTTTCACATCTATTGTTTCCGTTAATTAATTTTGTGTCCGGATTCTACTTTCTACTTTTAGAGATTCTTTTATCAGTTCTATTAGTTGTGTTGGTATATTAAATTCTTTCATTGCTTTTATTAAGAATTCTCGGTTTATGATGTCATATGCGCTTTCAAAGTCTATGAAGAGATGATGTGTGTCGATGTTATATTCACTTGTTTTTTCGAGGACCTGTTGCAGAACAAATATCTGGTCTATTGTTGACTTCTGTCTACAGAAGCCACTTTTGTATTTGCGAACTATTTTTTCAGTGTGTGGTTTAAGTCTTTCATAAATGACGTTGGACATTATTTTGTATGCTGCATTCAGCAGCGTGATTCCACGGTAGTTTTCACATTCTAACTGATTTCCTTTTTTATGTAATGGTACAATAATACCGCTATTCCACTCCGCTGGTAGCTGTTTATTCTACCATATCTTTGTTATCAATTCATGTATTGTTTTTTGTAGTGCGTCTCCTCCTTCCTTCAATAATTCCGATGCTATTTGATCCGATCCCGGTGTTTTATTGTTCTTTAATTTGTCTACTGCTACTCTAATCTCGGCTATTGTTGGTGGAGTCTTTTCAGTGTTATCTGCTTGGTCTAATGATATGTCAGGGTTCGTCTCTTTCCGATCTCCTTCAAGCCTTTCCGTAAAATGTTCTGTCCATCTACTTAGTATCTCTTGCTGTTCTGTCGATATATTACCTTCCTTATCTCTACACATCGTTGTTCTCGGTTTGAAGTCTTTTCTACTTTTGTTCAGTTTCTGATAAAATTTTCTTGTCTCTGTTGATTTACTTAGTTCTTGTAGTTTTTTGTTTATATATTCTCTCTTGTTTCTTTGGTGAGTTTTCTTTTCTTCTTTGCATAGTTGTTTATATTCTTCCTCTGCTTGTCAGGTTCTGTGCTCTGTTGCATAAGTAAATATGCTGTGTTTTTTCTGTCTGTTATAATCTGACATTCTTCGTCAAACCAGTCATTCCTTCTTGTTCTTCTTTCTCTACCTTCTATGCCTAATACTTCTCTAGCTGCCTATTTTATGATGTCTCTGCATTCTTCCCACTCCTTATTTAGGTTTTTATGTGTTAGTCTGTTTTTTAGTTTGTTGTTTATCTTTTCTTTATACTCTTTATTTTTGTTTGTTTCTTTGAGTTCTTCTACCTTGTATCGTTCATGTTTAGAGCCTCTTTCCTTGATGTTTGAAATTCTAGCCCTTACCCTACTTTCGACCAGGTAGTGATCAGAATCCGCATTTGCCCCTCTTTATATTACTACTTAATACCATTAATTTAAGAATTTAGGAATAACATTAAAATAAACTTATGACTTATTGTTCAAGGACACTTTACATTCAATTAGAATAATAAAGAATGAGTTGCTTAGTTTAAATGCGCGTAGACAAGTTTCGAAGATTATTCCCTTTATAGTCTAGGCGGGATCTGTTTTGGATTGGAAATTTTCGAAGGGAAGCTATTTTTTTGCTGGAATCCCTTCAGGATGTGCCCATTATCGATAATCACGATATGCGTCAGTCGTAAACCCTGTGCTAAATTTTTTATTCAACAAAATCTGAAAACAATTGAAAATTTCTCATTTTTTTGCACCTATTTTCATTTATAATTCGGAAAATATTGATCCTAGAGAAAAAATTATAGGTAGTTAAAAGTTTCGTTATTAAATTTTACACAATATTTTGTTAGCTAGAAATTGAAAATTTAATGGTTATTGTTGAAAAAATAGCAATAATTGGAAAAAAAAGTACAAAAAAATGAAGTTAATCCTTTAAATGTTTTCGACTTTCTAAAATTGACTTACAAGTTCCATATTCCGCCTAGAAAAACTTTTTAATATGTTTAAAACGTGTGCTAAATTTTGTTAAGATCGGTCGGATAGGTTTTGCATAATAATTTTTGCAATCCAGCCTACTGGAAAAAAATCGCAAATTTTCAAATTCATAGTAGGCCCTAAATAAGGCCCTCAGATAGTTGCATTTTTTTTTACATATAAAGAAAGTCTCAAACTTTCAAACGCTTTTTGTAAAATTTAAATCGGTTTACTAGGAGACCCTAGAAATTTTTTTAAAGTTATAAACATTTCTTAGGCTTATAAACAAATTAAATAACTTTACGAGCTTTAAACATATCAATTTCAAAATGTATACACTTAAAGAACATTAAAAGACGCTTCTTTTAAAAAACAAAAAGATACATTCGGCTTACTGGTTGCTGAGATATTGAAGGTCAAAGTTGGTATACATTTGCCGTGTAACCATAAGTGATAGAGAGTTCGTTTTTAAACAAATACCCTCGTCTTGCCTAATACTTTTTATATGAAAAGTTTTACGTAATGCGCTTTATGGCAACATCCATAAAAAAAGACAAATAAAAAACCGTTTTCGCGTAAAATGTCGCTCGGAACGCATGAGAGGTGGTGGTGAGGGACATTCACTTCAAATGTGAATCGGCGAGTATCAAGTAGGGGACCATCAGTTTGTTTAATTTCGAGTTTTGAAATATAAACAAAAGTAAAGTGCTCCAAAATCTGTAAGGGCTTGTAAAGTAAATTGTTACTTTTAGTAAACAAATATGTATTTATAAGTTGTTAATAAATAATTTGAATTGTTAAAACGAAGAAAATTTTTTTTGTAAAAATCAAACATTTTAAAATAATTAACATTAAAAATAATTTATTTCTACAGTTTTATCATAATAATACATTATTTGATTTGAGAATATATTTTGATTCGAAAGTGACGTGTATATTATTGTATATGGACGTGTTATTATACTGCTGTTTAATGCTCGAAATTGTTTTTTTTTGAGCTTGCAATTTATAAATTGAAGTAAATTGTTACTTTTAGTAAACAAATATGTATTTATAAATTGTTAATAAATAATTTAAATTGTTAAAACAAAGGCGAATGAAACAAAAATTTTCTTTTCATAAATATTCTTTATTTTGACTCAATCTTCAATAATTTTTTTTAAGTCTTTTTCTTTTTTTGGAAGGACAGGAATCTTCAGGTTTTATTTCTTCCTCAAAACCTTCATTTTCCATTTCAATATCTTCATCCTCGATCTGTAAATTTAATGTTTCTTCTCCTTCATCTGTAGCTATATCTTGTGCCTCCAAAAAATCTAAGGAATCCATCGACTCCATATCCATATCTCGTTCAACTTCTTCCAATATTTTATTGTGATCAATATTTTTACATGTTTGACCATTGCAGTGAAGACAATAGTCAGAACATTTGAGACCATGTTTGATACAACTGCATGTTTTTGTACAAAGTTTTTTACATTTGCAACTAATATTTCTGAATAATGAGTCAGGAAGTAATACTTGCTCAGTTTGTATTGGCTCAAGACCATTTTGAGTTAGTTCCCACCCCCACTCAGTAGCATTCAGGTTATTTCCAAGCCACTGCTGTACTTGGAAATATACACGAAGCGTGTGTTGCTCAGCTGCAGATTGTGTAGGTGGCAGCATGGACAATTGAAATTTTTTATTTTTGCAACCTTTTTTAAATCACAAGTAGCGAATTTTATTCAATGTAAAATCGCACTTTGAGTGGCCCATATACAATGCCGATATAATTTTGCATCCGCTGCGTTTAATTTCTTCCTTAGTGGCACTTTTTTCATTAAAAATGGTTGCTTCTTGCCATATATCATTATTTGTTGAAACCAATTTAACAATTTTGCTTTTTTCTTGATAAAAAAATGCAGAGGTTGTATCACAACCAGAATATATAAACTTTTTATTAGTTTTTGAAATACAAAATATTTTACTGTTAAAACTCACGGATTTGACAATATAACTACTATATAATAGCGTTGAACATAATATGATCAAACCACAGAAAAACGAGTTCAGCACGCCTTTAATACAAGCCCTTACAGATTTTTTGGAGCACTTTACTATTTGTTTTTATTTCAAAACCCGAAATTAAACAAACTGATGGTCCCCTACTTGATACTCGCCGATTCACATTAGAAGTGAATGTCCCTCATCACCACCTCTCATACATTCCGAGCGACATATTACGCGAAAACGGTTTTTTATTTGTCTTTTTTATGGATATTGCCATAAAACGCATTACGTAAAACTTTTCATATAAAAAGTATTTGACAAGACGAGGGTATTTGTTTAAAAACGAGCCCTCTATCACTTATGGTTACACGGCAAATGTATGCCAACTTTGACCTTCAATATCTCGGCAACCAGTAAGCCGAATGTATCTTTTTGTTTGTTAAAAGAAGCGTCTTTTAATGTTCTTTAAGTGTATACATTTTGAAATTGATATGTTTAAAGCTCGTAAAGTTATTTAATTTGTTTATAAGCCTAAAAAATGTTTATAACTTTAAAAAAATTTATAGGCTTTCCTAGTAAACCGATTTGAATTTTACAAAAAGCGTTTGAAAGTGTGAGACTTCCTTTATATGTAAAAAAAAAATTAACTATCTGAGGGCCTTATTTAGGGCCTACTATAAATTTGAAAATTTGCGATTTTTTTCCAGTAGGCTGGATTGCAAAATTATTATGCAAAACCTATCCGATCGATCTTAACAAAATTTAGCACACGTTTTAAACATATTAAAAAGTTTTTCTAGGCGGAATATGGAACTTGTAAGTCAATTTTAGAAAGTCGAAAACATTTAAAGGATTAACTTCATTTTTTTGTACTTTTTTTTTCCAATTATTGCTATTTTTTCAACAATAACCATTAAATTTTCAATTTCTAGCTAACAAAATATTGTGTAAAATTTAATAACGAAACTTTTAACCACTTATAGTTTTTTCTCTAAGATCAATATTTTTCGAATTATAAATGAAAATAGGAGCAAAAAAATGAGAAATTTTCAATTGTTTTCAGATTTTGTTAAATAAAAAATTTAGCACAGGGTTTGCGACTGGCGCATATCGTGATTATCGATACTGGGCATATCCTGAAGGGATTCCAGCAAAAAAATAGCTTCCCTCGAAAATTTCCATTATGGTCTGAATTTCTACAGATGCCGCCTAGTCTATTATGGATGTCCAAAAAGAGCATCAATAGCATTAATCAAAGCAAAAGATATGGATATAGTTTTAAAGTAACCTTTTTTATGAATTGTCTTGCATATTATATTAAATTTATTACATGCTACTTCTTAATTTTGTTTATACATTAGATACATAAATATTATAAATATATTCTTATATAATATTATTAGGGATGTTGGGTTTTTATGCAGCAAACAAAGTCTTAGTTAGATTATTTTGAACATATCAGAATCTGATTACAGGTTTTTTTTTAATACAACTGTTCATTTAACTTCCAGAATGATGCTGGTGACTACGAATACAGATACATATACCTAGAAGTGGATGATTTACTCAATAATGTCATTGTTATTGAAGATAACAGACACAATCTTGCTGCAATGGAAAAGTCGAAATCATTTGAAGAACTGTCACTTTAGTTTTGTTATTTAATTTTTACTGTACATATTGAATTATTCAACAATAGGCAATAAATAGTTGTTTTATTTTTACATTGAGCTAGGAAAACTTTTACATGTTGTATGACTGAATATAATTTTTATTTTTAATTTATGTAAATGACTTTTGTGTTTATATCGATTAAATTGTTGATAATTTCAAAATTTTAAATTATTTCCTCTAATTCCTGATATATCCTACACTGTGCAACATCAATAAATGTTGTGATGCCCCATTAAGGAGAACATGAGTTAGGAATAATGATCAGTTATAATCATTGACGTTAACAATTGATAAAGTTACTAGAGTTAGCAAGTTTGAGGAAACACCTAGTTCAGTCAACGTAAGAAACAGTATTTTTCAGGAATTCTATGTAAATAAAGGCTTAAAATTCAGTGCTCATTTGCAACGACTTTATTTAAAATATATTTAGAAGAGGTGTTGAAAAATTGGAAAAAGAAATGCCGTTAAATGGGAATGTCCACATTCTTACAGCACTTCGTCAAATTTATATTGAATATGATCTTGTTTATGTCGTTTGTTGATTTCATACAATTGCGGTCTTAACATTGACGTTACAAGTGGTAAATTTTTTTCTGTCAACCAAGATATCATATCCATTTTTTTAGAATTACTGGTGGGTGCTTTATTAATTTGTACATTATGCATTATATGATGCATTATTAGTAACAACAACAGATCTAAGAGGCAGATTGGGGATTCATAATTTTCTAAATTCATATCATGATAATCTGATTTAAAAATCAAAAGGGCATTCTGTATAAAATCCATCTCCCCACCACCATGTACGATAACCAACCTACTTCCTTTTGAAATGTTTTTGAACAATCCTTTGCCACTGTCATCTGTCCAGCTAATTGTCTGTCATAGGTTTTACCAACATCTAGAAATGACTTACCTTCGCTTCTGTAATATTTAATTTTGTCCAAATATTTATTGCTTACAGCAAGAATATCATTCCATTCAATTAATAAACGTCTAGTATCTTTTGTTTTCTTCCATTTAAGTTCCAAATATTTTACAATTCTGTAGAGAAAACTCACACTTCCAGTCCACTCGTACACCTCTTCAAGCCTTTTCTGTAAAAGCTTCAATGATACACTACAACGTTCAATCTCATGAAAACGATAAATGGTATTTCTAATAAACTGTTTGTCATACTCCCTCAAATCTGTCACGGTTGCTTTCTCTTTAGCAAGTGTTATAGCTGGAAATTTTAGTGCATTATTTGACTCTGCGTTTGTTAACATACTCGCTTGTTGAATGATCTTTTCTACTGTACGTAAAGATACTCCAGTAGCTTCACTCACACGTTATTTAGTACTGGTTCGATTATCTTCAAGAAATAGTATTTGCATATATTTAAATACATTTTAAACTATTTATTACACTTAACTATCTCCATTCTACAAAATAGTTCTAATACGCGTGGTAGCACCTTTCTTGTTGAGACTCGACAACATAATGAGACTAAATTACGAACTCGTTTGAAATCCAGTGACTAGAAATTCTCGGAAATAATTCTTATCAGTTCTTGTTATGTCCTTAACGAGTCGTTATGGAGTCATTAATAATGACTTTATAATTACAGGTTTAAGGTAACTGATACTAAAATAGAAATGAACTTTTACCAAACTTTATAGAGTATCAGTTATTAAAGATGGTATTATAACAAACAAAAAGTTTGGTATCTATAAAACAATCTGTGTACAATCAAACTCCATTTATTATTTGAGTGAGTAATCATTTTGTAATTAGTGCGATTTCAATTAAATTTAATTTGTTTAATATTGGAACGCCACTGCATGGGTCTGATCATAGATATTCTGTTGTCTGCCCGATTATTTATTTCGTGGAAGGGCTCGCCACTCGATTTAAAATAGGCTGTACCTGCCAGTTTTTTCGTGATTTCTCGTCCTTTGGAAAGTAGTGGAGATGTATATCTTTCTTACATCGAGCACAACATTGTGGCACTGAACAATATCTATTACTTTTCTTCTTATCGCTTATTATTTTTAAAATTTGATGAAGTTTTTACCAGTTTTAAACTCTAATTTATTAAAATATTTGACATTTATCCCTATTTTATTAGTTATTTATTTTGGCAGCACGGTCGTTTGAGAACGAGTTATTGAAAGACCTGTTATAAATTATTATCAGGTATAATTAAAACACTGATTAAATCAAAAACTTTATTTTGTTTTAAAAGGATTTTCCGTAAAATACCACACCAACCTGTGTCGAAATATATATTTATTTACTTTTCTTGAAAGCCAAGCGGTTATTATGTAAATTGCAAGATACTGCATCCATGCGAATTTTAAGATGTGCCAAAAGTTGGGTTGATAATAAATTTGATTTTCTGGATATTTCACCCTTAATTCTAGGACAAACGAAGCGGAGCTTTCGGTTCCAACAAACGTATTGATGTTCGATAAATGTGTTGTCACTAAAAATTGTAAAAATGATTGTAATAATTGTGTATAAGTTTATATTAACATGCCCATTTTGAGTAACATGATATATCAGTTTAAACCACAAAATCCATAAGATTAACAAAGAAACATTGGATGACGAGAAAATGATTGATCGGATATAATCTCCTGGACAACATATTGAACGAAAAAGCTTATGTTCGACGTATGCCGTATAATGTGTCACAATTCGACAGAAAAATGACTTATGTAAGAGAATCTTTGCGGCATCTCGGCGGTCGGCGTTCGAAATAGTGACCATGGCATTCCAGAACATACGGCATTAGTAACGAATAGAAGTAGACTGATCTAGATCAGTGGTTCTTAAACTTTTTTAGCCGCGTCACCCTTGTAGGGCTAAACATATTTCGAGGCACACCAACCCTTGAAGCGATTTGAAAAACGACAAAAAATGAACAATTCTGAGGCTCATTTGATTTCAATATCAACTTTATTTCAGATCAATAAAATACAGTACATTTGCTATTCAAATATCCTTACTTAATGTGATGAATGAAACTGTTTCGATGATGTTTTCATTATATCCTTTATTATTATGGGGATCTTTGTAAGTTTGACCCTCAAATCCCTTGATACTTGAAGTTTGCTTCTGCATTTGTTTTTATTGTAAGCATATGCGAAGAAAAAAGAGTCACAGAGATAAGTCGATGTGAAACACACAAGTTTTTTCACTGCAACCTTGCTAATATCATTATCTTCTGAATATACCTGCATTCAGAACTCTTGTTGGCTTCCTTCATGGTATTTGAGTTGTAAACTGCTATCTTCGCTGATCTCAAGTAGATTTTGAAAAACTTCATTTGTCATTCCGACAGGTTTATCCTTGATAACGGCCATCATCTAGGCATGAAAACGGGTCCATCATCCAGCTATCTGAATCAGTCATCTGAATCAATGTCAGAAAAATAGTTTACAATTCTTTCTTCCAAACCTTGCAAATGAGTAATAACAATTTCAAAGAAGTTCGTTTGAGGATTGATCTCATTTGTTATGTCAAATTTCTGTAATCGAGAGATATTTGTGAGGTTCCTCTTTTCAACACATGCTTTGAAAAATATAACATTTTTACCCAAGGCTTTGATTTTATCTAATAGTGTTCCTCCTTTGCCTTGAAGCGAAGTGGTGCTTTTATTTATTATTTCGAAGATGTCTGAAAGGTATGCCAATTTTAGCAGCCAATTGACATCTTTTAATTCTTGGATAAAAGACTGCTCTGTAAATGTGATACGACATGTGACAGTGGATCTTTTAGTTCAAATAGTCTCCCTAAAATTGTTCCCCTCGATAGCCACCAGACCTCTGTGTGGAGCAAAAGATTGAAGTGATCCATACCCATATCTTCAACCGTGAGCTTTAAAAGGCGTGTTTGAAGTGGACGGCTCTTCACACAGTTAATTATTTTCACGAAACCATCCAATACGTCTTTCAAATGTTACAGCATCTTTTTAGTTGTCAAAGAATGGCGATGTAAGATACAATGACTGCTGGAGACATTTTCTGCCACTACCTTTATTCTAGATACCGTCCCTCTAATTTTACCAACCATTGCATCTGCTCCATCACTGCAATTATCCACACATTTACTCCACTCTATATAATTTTTTCTTATATACTCGTGGATAGCCTTGAAAATATTTTCATCAGTGGCATAACTTTTAAGCTCTTCACACATGAAGAGTTCTTCTATTTTCATCCCAAATGGAAACCTCACAAATACAAGCAGAACATGCAACATATAGCAACGTCGGTACTTTCATCAAGCTGTAAACTGAAGAATTCACAAGTTTTTAATCTATTTATAAGCGCTTATCATCATCATCACGTAGCGCTACAACCTTGGGTGGGTCTTGGCTGACTGTACAACTTTTTCCAATTTGTTCGGTCTTCCATCAACCTAGGGTCAAATGGTGTCCGAGTGGTCTTTTGCCTGTGGGAATCTCCTCCCATACCAGTTTTACACGTCTTTCGTTATGCAGTCTGTGCACGTGGCCTGCCCATCTTAGTCGCTGTGATTTAATTTCTTGTACAATATCCGCGTCGTTGTAGAGTGCTTTTCATTCGATATTGGTTCTGATCTTATACTAGTTTGTGGTGATGTCATGGTGAAGTCCGAAAATTTTTCTAAGTATTTTTCGTTCAAAGCGTCTGAGCTTTTCTTCATTTGCTTTGGTCATGGTCCACGTTTCACATCCGTATGTTATTACAGGTCCGACGATGGATTTATAGATTTTGATCTTTGAACTTCTTGTGCTCCCTCTCTACAAAATCTGAAATAGTGTGAATTCACTTGCTTATAGTGCTGTTTGACATCTGCACATTATCAATCTTCTTGGTCATATCTGGATCTAACATGCATTGTACGACATCCTTCACGCAAGGTTTTATCAGTTCCTCGGCAATGGTATGGGGTTTTCCAGCTTTAGCAACGTGCAAACCAATAATAAATGATACTTCAGTGGCATTTTCGTTTTCATTTTTGCAGACTCTTTCCATCATGCATGACCCTGCCAAGAGATGAAACACGACGTTTGAAGGTTTCTTCGGCCTTATCGGCTAAACCAGGATGATTACTTTCCAAATGTCTTTTTAATTTAGATGGAACCAAGCACCCATTAGCAACAATTTTGTGACAACGCATTGGACTTCTGGTGCCTGTTCGTTGCTAAAAATTAAACCATATAACCTGAGATAGCTAGGATCATACTAGTACGCACTAGTACGTAGAATAGATTAAAGTTAAAGAAAAATTAATGCATGACCAAAGTTTATATTGTTATTATGATAGATAAAGAGACTAACCAAAAGATATACAATACAAAAGAACATATGGGAAAAGTCATGATTAGGCATCTATCATTGTCAGAGGTAGTTAAGTATAGAAAGAGCTTATGTCTAGTGATAAAGGACGTACATCAACAAATACGAAGACTAAATGATTGAATCCTATGAGAGACCAGATGATTATCCAAAAAATTATATTAACATTTGCATTTGCAACTTACCATTTCTTTCTAAGTAGGCAGCGATTATATTTTCAATTAGAAAATTTTTACTCTCATCTCCATTCTTAATAAGTGGATTATTAAAATCTTCTGAATGTTTTCGTCTGCATGGAATAGCGCTCGATTGGATAAAATTTAAATTAGCAAAAATATGCAATTTAGTGGCTTTCTCGTGTTGGAAATTATGCTGATAATATATTAATGATTGCATTTTTAATTGGCACAGGTCCTAAAACCAACACAAAGCTTGCAACAGTATTATGATTACTTTAAAAATCAACTTGGGGTATTATATTTTACAATAATTATTACTTACACTTAGTTCATATTTAATAGGAAGCACAATGTTGATGGAGTTGATTTTGTAGGAATGAAGATTTATATTAACTTGAAAATGTAGTTCATCATTTTTTGTATCAAAATTTTTATCTATTTCTCGAAGCTAAAAACCAAAGACAAATTTTAACCAAAATATAAATTAGGACTTCAAAAAAATATTCATCATCCATCCTTTCGTTGGTTCGTTTTGCTGGACATAGGTTATCTCCTTTTGCTAAGGAGTATGTTACTTAAATATTGCTTGTCTAACTCGTAGGCGGTCCTTTATTATAGTTCCTTTATTTCGTTTTTTGGCATTCAAGTGCCCATCTTAAATCCATCGAGATGTCCATCTTAAATCTGTCAGTGTTTATTATGTATTTTTTAGAACTTTTATTTTTATGTCTGTCTATCTATCTAATTAGCCTTCTTCGGTCCATCTTTGGACATAGGCCTCTCCAATCCTTTTCCATTCTTCTCTGTCTGTCGCTACAGTCATCCATCTAGAGCCCACGTGCTTCTTGATATCTGCCCATCACATTTGGGGCCTTCCTCTGCTTCGTTTATATTTCCACTGTCTCCAACTTATAAGTATTTTGTTCCATCGGTCTTCTTTTTGTCTTATATTGTGTCCGGCAAATCTCCATTTCAATTTTGCAACTTCTTGTCTAACATCCCTCACTTTTGTTTTCTCTCTTATCCACTCGTTTCTATTCTTATCCATTAGTCTTATGTGCAACATTTGTCTTTCCATTGCTCTTTGGGTTTTTATGATTTTGTCCATGTTTGCTTTTGTAGATGTCCTCGTTTGGGAACCATAAGTAAGAACAGAGAGTACGCATTGATTATATACTTTGGTCTTAAGATGCTGTGGATATCTTTTGTTTTTAAGAATGTAGCTTAGTTTGCCAAATGCCGCCCATGCCAGTCTAACTCGTCTCTTGATCTCTGCTGTTTGGTTCTCTTTGTTAAGTTTTATAGTTTGACCAAGATATATATATATATATATATATATATATATATATATATATATATATATATATATATATATATATATATATTGTTAAGGTGTGGATTTGGAAAATAAATAGTCGTACTTTACTACTATTATAAAAGGCTTTATTTCCTATAACATACATACTAATTAACTAACCTAACTTAAGCCACCATACTTCTTACTACCACCTACAACTACATGATACTCATTGACATTACTATTATTGTCTGTCATGTCAACCCATGACACTATGGGTGCGTTCCGCTTACTCTTACACCAATATATCTGTGTATACAATATAAATGTATTACATTCTCAACACGCCTCCTTACATTTACATTGTATTTACATTAATTCAAATTTAACATACTTCGAAATTTTTCAAATTTATCTTGGCCCAAGGACTTCGTAAAAATATCTGCAATATTATCATCAGAATCTACTTTAACCACATTTATAACATTTGCTTTAACATAATCATTTACATAATGATAATGAATTTCAACATGCTTAGAATTTTTTGTAAAATTGCCATAATTAGCTATACTAATTGTACCAGTGTTATCTTCATAAACATCAATTGGCTTTATTATTTCAATATCAAATATTTTCAACAATTCTTTTACAAATATCAATTCACTTACTGCTTCTGACAATGCTACATACTCTGCAAAAGTTGAAGCTTTTGTAACGCTTTTTTGTTTTCTAGATTTCCAATAAATTACATTACCAAACAATCTTATTACAAAACCAGTTGTAGACTTTCTATCTAAATGATCACCTGCCCAATCGGCATCCACATAACAATCAATAATACTTACTTTTTCATTTCTGTTATAAAACAATTTTAAATCTTTAGTTAAGCATAAATATTTCAAAATTCGTACAGCATATTTAAAGTGCGTTTCATTATAGCAATTTTGAAATCTACTCAGATAATTTACGCTGAAACTTATATCAGGCCTTGTTGCCGAACTTATGTATAATAGTGCACCAATTAAATTTTTATATTTAATATTTCTTTCACAATGATCAGATTTATCAATTTTTAAATTTACTTCCATAGGTGTATTATACAGTTTACCTTTTTCTAAATTATATTTTTTCCTTAATAATTCAATATATTTATTTTGATCCAATCTCATTTCATGTTTACTAGAATCATAATCAACAGTAATACCAAGATATTCTTTAATTTCACCAATATCTTTCATTTTAAATTTTTCTGATAATAAAATTTTAATCCTTTTAATTTCATTTAAATTTCTACCACAAATCAATAAATCATCGACATAAATTAATAAGTAAATAATATCATTTCCAATTTTATAAACGTACAAACAAGGATCAATATTACTTCTTTCAAAACCTAAATTTATCAAAAATGTATCTAGGCACTCATACCATGCCCTTGGACTTTCTTTTAAACCATATAAAGCTTTAACTAATTTACAAACTTTACTTGTTCCATCTTCATAACCCTTAGGTTGTTTAATATAAACTTCAGAAATTACTTTACCATTTAAAAAGGCTGTTTCAACATCCATTTGTTCAATTACTAGGCCCATTTGACAACAATATGACAATAAAATCTTTAATGTTTGCATTTTAGCCACAGGTGAATAAATATCATCAATTTCATCAGTTTGTTGAAAACCTCGTACAACCAATCTAGCTTTATAAGTATTATCAGACTTTTTAGTATAAACCCATTTAACATCCAGAATATTTTTGTTTGTATCATTTTTAACCAATTTCCAAGTTTTACTTTTATTTAAACTATCAATTTCTTTGTCCATAGCTGTTTTCCAATACTTACTTTCATTAGAATTTATCGCCTCCTCAAATGTATGTGGTATATCAGTTCTACACATATTTACAAAAATACTACTATTATATACATAGTAGTCATCAAATTTCTTTGGAGGATTTTTGGCTCTGTGAGATCTAGGTAACTCAGGTTCATTTTTATTCACACTATCATCCATACTTTCATTTGTACTTTCAAAAGTTTCATCTATTGAGTCATTTTCAGAGCTTTCATCAATTTTATCAGGGTAACACTCTTCATTATTATCATTATCTGATTCGTTAAAGTCTAAACCTATACACTTAACGTTTTCTTCAACAATATCCACGTGTCTAGCAACAATGACTCTGCCATTTAATAATACACGATAACCAACATTACTATAACCAATTAAAATTCCCATATCAGCTTTCTTATCCCATTTAGAGATTCTCTTCTGTTCTGGTCTTCGTACAAAAACTTTACTTCCATACAAACGCAAATTAGAAACATCAGGTTTCTGTCCAAAAAATATTTCATATGGAGTTTTCTTTTCAATTGTATCAGATAAAGTACGATTTTTCAAATAAACCGCAGCACAAACTATTTCAGGCCAATATTTTTTATGAATATCTGCTTCAGCCAACAAACATCTTGACATATCCATTATAGTTCGATTAAACCGTTCTGCAGTCCCATTCAATTCATGTACATATGTAGGACAATTATCAATTACTATACCCCTTTCTTTTGCAAATCTGTAGACTTTACTGTTCAAATATTCTTTCCCATTATCACATCTTAAAATCTTTATTTTCTTTCCAGTCAAATTTTCACTTTCATTCGTATATTCATTCAAACAATCACATACTTCTGCTTTTGATTTTATAGCATATACTTTAGAAATCTTACTATAATCATCAATGAAAGAAACAAAATAATTTTCACCTTTAAACCCAGTAGTTCGAAAAGGCCCACAAACATCAGTATGTACAATCTCTAAAATATCTTTAGCTTTTTTTCTACTGTTTACAAACGGAATATTATGCATTTTACTTTCAATACAAATCTTACATTTCATAAATTCAGATTCAAACTCATTAGGAATTCCATTCAACAGCTGATCTTTAGATAAAATATTCAAATATTTAAAATTTACATGACCTAATAAACGATGCCATTTTTCCTTTTGATTCATATTATTCATATCTTTATTTGCAACATTTACATGCAATTCAACTGATTTTAATTTACTTTTCATAATATATAAGCCATTATTTTTTAAAGCAACTGCTGTTATATTACCAAGTTTATCAAAAACTTTTGAAATATTACCTAGAGAAATAATCTTATTATTTTCTGTTATTTTGCTATAACTTATCAAATTTGATTTCATATCTTTAACATAGAAAACATTTTGCATATCTACTAAACTCTTTTTACCAAAAGCATCAAAGTAACTTAAAACATTTCCAATTTTAGTAGCTTTTACAACCCTATTATCTCCTAAATAAACATTAATGGGATCTTTAAGTAATTTACATTTATCAAATAATTTTTCATCATTAATAATGTGGTCTGTACAACCACTATCTAAAAGCCATTTTATTTCAATACAATTATTTACATTACCTATTTCAGTATTTTGTGCAATAACTGACATATCCTTACCAAGAGCTACTGTTGTAAGCCAAGAAGCACTGTTTCGCTCTTCGTTCTTCTGTCCTTGTCGGTTGAACCGCTGTGCACTTGTTCCATGCGTTCCGCGCTGTCCACGTGAGTGGCCACGTCCTCTGACGTAGCTTCCTCTTCCGGCTTCTTGTCGACCTCGCGTTTCTCTCCACCAGCCTCTACTGCTTGTCGTTTGTCCGCCATTACCCGACGCTTGATTGGCGCCATTTTTGCAATCTCGCTTGAAATGACCAACTTCGCCACACTGGAAGCATGATCGATCCTGTCGACCTTTATTTACCACAAATGTACTGGATTTTCTTCCAAAATCATTGTTTTGATTTTTTAATTCGGACATCATAACCTTAGTTTTTACGTAGTCTGCAGTTTGATCATCTTCTTTTAATGTATCTATTAAATCACCAATATAACTGTACGACTCTGGCAACGTGTTTAACATATAGTTCAATTTTTCCTTTTCAGACACACTAGCACCCGCGCTTTTTAACTCGTTTATAGCTTTTTCGAAGTCACTAAAAAATGTTGCACAGTCTCCATAGTTGTTCAATTTTAATCTTTCCAAGTTATTTCTACATACTATCTGCAATGCCGTTGATTCTTTCAAATATAAATTATCAAATTTCTTTATCATCTCATACGCCGTAGTTTTTTCGTCGATGTACTCCATCTGTCGATCCGATATTGCACCGCATATATAATTCATTGCTTTTACATCATCGTCATCCCAATTTGTATCATCATTTTCATTTTTCGGTCTGGTTACCACAACATCACACTTCTTCATTTTCAAAAATAGCATAAGACGTTTTTTCCACATTTTATAATTCTCCCCATCGAATATAGGTATTCTAAAATCACTACTACCTGCCATCATGTGTCACACTTTTTTTTTCAAACTGCACCAAACTTTTTCTGTTGTAAAAGGTACGACTTTCCAACCACGGACCTCTGCTACCATGTTAAGGTGTGGATTTGGAAAATAAATAGTCGTACTTTACTACTATTATAAAAGGCTTTATTTCCTATAACATACATACTAATTAACTAACCTAACTTAAGCCACCATACTTCTTACTACCACCTACAACTACATGATACTCATTGACATTACTATTATTGTCTGTCATGTCAACCCATGACACTATGGGTGCGTTCCGCTTACTCTTACACCAATATATCTGTGTATACAATATAAATGTATTACATTCTCAACATATATATATATATATATATATATAATCCTTAACTTGTTCTATTTCATCTTGTCCGATTCTCATTGTGATGTCTTCATCTGTATTTGTTATAGTTTTGGTCTTGCTGTAATTCATATTAAGGCCTATCTTTCCAGCTTCTACGTCCAGTTCTTTCATTATTTCAAATAATTCTTCTTTTTTATCGGTTATCAATACGATGTCATCAGCGTACCTTAGATGGTTCAAGCGTTGTCCACAAATTTTTATACCTTTGTTTTCCCATTCTAATCTTTTAAAAGTATCTTCAAGAGCCTGATTGCAAAGTTTCGGTGATATTGTATCACCCTGTCTCACGCCTCTACTTATTTGTAATGATTTTGTTCCTTCATATACTTTAATTGTTGTTTTGGCTTCGTTATATATATTGGTTATTAGTTCCGTATATCTGTGGTCAATTCGGCTGTTAATTAAAGAACTTTTCACTGCCCAATGTTCGACATTTTTGTTAGGAGCTTATACATTACATTGAGGAGTGTTACAGGACGGTAGTTTTTTATATCTGCTTTATCCCCTTTCTTGTGTAGGATAATGGTTACTGATTCCTTCCAGTTGTTGGGGAGAACAAACTTCCAGTGACCAGTGTACAAGTGAAGTGATCTGAGGCCTTACGAGACTTACATTTAGGAAGCCCTGATGAATACTTCAGAGAGGAAGTCGAAAACTCGGAGTATTCACCACCTTAGTCGATTTTCCCTTATCTTGTCCATAGTTGGCACAACTTCCATCCTTTTCCTGATATCTTCATTCTTGACGTGCTCAAGGAGGACATACCTTTAAAATTCATCGTAGCATCCTCATTTTTATAACAGGCATAGCCTGTTCTTGTTTTGCTGTGGCTGGCCAACAATCTGTTTTATATAAAGCCTTTGTCATCTTTATCAATTACTCTAGTTGTTTGGCACCTTATTAGCCATGTTGAGTTAATGCCAGATGCGTGATTCTTCTTAAGTTCCTCACCGACGATGCTGATTGTGCCATCGTGTTAGTGAGCGTGTCTGTACACAGGATAAAGAGGAGCAAGAATAGAGCCGATGAATATCGCTAAAAATTTATACATACCTACCAACTCTTTCCTATCAATTAAAACTTACCTTAACGGACGAACAAAAGTCCAAATCTGATAAATAGCTCTTGTAATAGGAATATGTACTGCAAATAATTGGATTACTTAAATTATTAGTGACCGCAGTGATCAAGTAATCTCCCTCCAAGTTCACTTTTGGTTGCTCATAGTAAAAATCGGTCTTTAACCAGAATCCTAAAATTAGCATCGAGTACTTCGTTTCAATTATTAAATATATAGCTAAATTATAAAAATAATGAGAATTAAATACAAAATTCGTAAACATTATTTTGCAAATTCCAGGAAAATCAATGAACGGGGAGTTATAAATATGGATTCATAACTTCATGTTGTGAATATCTCAAACTTTAAAGAAAGCATATCGCCTAATAAGAAAAAAATAAATGTAATTCGAAATACAAATTTAACCTTCCTTTAGTCTGGTGGAGTCCGACAGAATCAGAAGTTTATGTCATATACCTCCATAACGCGCGCAATTATCACAGAACAATACCAGAATGCCCACTCTTAGATGCCACCTTTGAAGTTTTTTAGCACGCGATCGCCATATTTTAAACGGAAACATAGACTCGAATTGGGAAATTTGTGACAAGCTACGATAGAACTGTAATTTAAATTTTATTATAAATTTTTAGAGAATATTAATTTAGTACATTTGAAATAATTTAATCTATTCTTTAACTAAAAGTACGAATAAAATAGTGCATATTATGTCTATTGTTGCCGTAAATCAATTAAACCTTGTTAATTTTTCTATGCACACCAGATAAGATGTCACTGGACAGCACTGGTTCCGTTTAAAACATGGCTGATTTCGTCTGCGCGAACGAGATGCGCGTACTTATTATTTCAAGCAGAGTGGGCATTCTGATTTTTAAATATTCTGTACACGGGTAACATTGAAATTATGATAATCCAGAAGGCACGTAGTGATATTAACAAGTCAAAAAATGTAATAAAATATAATAAATAAAAGCTTTATTGATATATCAGATTAAATGAAAAGCTATAAATTCTATTTATAATTGCAATCTAATTTTTTTTAATTGAAATCCTTTAAAATATGAAAATAGGAACAAATTCGTATAAAATTTAATTTGATACAAATGTTTGGGTCAAACGCTATGAGGAGTGCAAATTCAAAGAAATGTAGTGTTATTTTGAAACTATTATACTTCGAAAAAAAGTCCTAGAAAAATAAGGGACAATCTAGAAATTAAAATAATTTAAAGAAAATAAGATATCGAGTCGCAAAAATTGGTAAAATAGAATCAATAACGTTACTTGAATGCCAGAAAGAAAAACATCTAGAGAAAAAGGACCAATCCTGTAAGAAAAATACTTATAATAATAGTTTAGAGGAGTAACAAAACAAGACAGAAGAAAAAAACTAATTAATGTTACCTCCAGTTTTATAACCAATTATATATGGAACAATTATTTTAAACAACCAGGAGACCACCACTAAAAATGTAGCTTTTGAACATAACGTACTTTTGTATCTTGTTTTTACAGTTTGTGTAAATATTTCTAAAACAACCATGATTTCATTACTTCAATGAAAACTTTCTGTATTGTTTATATTTATGTGCTAACTGTTGACATTCTTTAAACTGTTGCTATGGTTACATTCCCCTACATATAGGCCAATATCAATACACGAATATAATCTTGTATTACACTTTGAGAGGTTGCCAACTGTTTGAGAAAAGAACCGTACAACTTTAAAAATTTTTTATTACCTAATAAAAATCTTAAAATATCCTTTTTTTATTATATATCTAGCAATGTACGAAACTGCTTTTAACAGAGATTTGTTAAATGAGATCGCATCTTTGAATTCAGTGGAACTGGCACTTACATTGGAAAAAATGCACAATTCAATTTTTACAGGATTTAACTCGAAACGATTTTTTTCGTCAGATTATACATTTTCCAATACGCTAAAAATTCGTTTCATAAAAGCGTTGGAGACAGGAACACTACAAACAAACTGCACAATCTGCAACCAATTCGGAGCTTATTCCTATTTTGAAAAAAATGCACTACATATTAATGGATATGTGGGCAAGCATTGTTCTTGAGGCTCATACAGGACTTGGAGGCAATTTAAATGCTCAACGCTGCAATGTTTGGAAGATCATGTAGTGCTATTTGTCCCATTCGTTGGAGAAAACTTTCATCTGATGCAAAATAATGCTCGTCCGCATCGCAAAAATAACACGGGATTACTTGGATGAAGTTGGGATTCGTTTATTACCATTGTCCCCAAGGAGTGCAGACTTAAATCCAATAGAACATGCATGGGATAATCTGGGACGACATATTCGACGTAACCATATGGTGAGTTGGAAACCATGAATGATTTGGAGTAAGCAGGTCGTGACGAATGGGAGCAGATTCCTCAACCAGACATTGCTGCCTTAATCCGAAGTATGCCTGATCGAATGAGAGATATAACTAAGGCTTGTGGAGGTAATACACTCTACTAAATATCGTTTTCCATAAAAATATTTATTAAAAAAAATAACTTTTTCTTTGCAGATTTTCCAATTTTTTGAATTGTTTATTGTTTTGTCTCTGTAACATTCTTGAGTTGTAATAAGTTTGACTTTTAAATTTTATTTATTATTAAATACTCAATTGGGAACATCTTAAACTTTTTTAAACGGCAGTTTTTAGGAAAAATCTGAGTGTACGGTTAATTTTGTACCCCAGTGTATACAGTGCTAGTCAAAAGTCCGTTCCCCCCCTCGTATCTTTTGAATGGTTATTGTTATAATAGTGAAATTTGGACGGAGGTAATAAATAGACCTAGGCTTCTCAACTAGTCACGTAATAGTGACAGATGACGTTACAGCGCCATTGTGACAGATAATTTTAAATGGGACCTTATGGCAAGTGATACCTCGTTTAAAAGGTATTAAAAATACCTATTCAGTCATAATAAGTTTATTTGAGTTTAAGCTCAATTTAATAAATAAATTAAATAAATACTAAAATTGTAGCTTCGCATTTAATTAATAATTATTAAAACCTCCGCCTCTGGTTACTTGTCAAAAAGTTGACATTTTTCAATTGTTTTTACGTCAACGTCAACTTTTTTGACAATTAACCAGAGGCGAACGTTAGAATATTTATTGATTAAATGCGAAACTACAATTATTTTAATATACCTATTCAATCATACTAATTTTGTTTGGATTTAAGATGCTTTTGACGAATAAATGAAAACAATACTAAAATTCTAATTTGGTATTTAATTAAAAAAAATTCTAACGTCAGCCTTTGGTTATTTGTCAAAAAAAGTTGACGTTTGTCAATTCTCTAGTTGTTTTTAGTCTGCAAAAGCGTTTATAGCTCCATATTTAGTTTCTGTTTCTACTTAGTTTAGTCAAGTTGTTTTTAGTTAGTTGTTCTTAGTAAATATTTAGTTTAGTTAGTTAGTTTAGTTTAGTTAATTACTCTTTACAAAGGCAGAATGGTACGTACTGTATCCGATAAAGTGGCAGCTGTGTTACTAATTGCTGAATGTGGAAATAATTTCCATGCAGCGGAACGTCTTTTTAGAGGTACCCCGATCGCCCTATATCGAGATCTTATTTGAGAAAGCTTCTTCGAAAGTTTAAACAAACAGGTAGTGTTCAAGATGTCAAACCATCTGGTCGACCAACAATTAGTGATGACAAAAAAATTGAAATAATATCAGAAATGGTAGTGAACCCTACAGTCTAAGTTGCATCTATCTATGGAATCAGTCAAAAGACAGTACACCGAGTGTTGGGTAAAAACAAATTTCATTCATACAAATTAAAAATTGTGCACCAACTTTCAGATGATGACCCCGACCGAAGACTAGAATTCTGTGAAAATATGTTCAATAAAATTAACCAACAGCCCAATTACATAAAAACAATTTGTTTTAGTGACGAAAGTACTTTTTCTCTCAATGGAAATGTTAACACACACAATGTGAGGTATTGGAGTGACACAAATGCTCACAAATAAAAAAAAATGTTTGGGCAGGTATTTTGGGAAACCACATAGTTGGGCCTGTTTTTCTCAATACTAACTTAACCGGTTAAGTGTATCTGGAGATGTTACAAAATGCAATTGAACCATTAATACTTGAAATTCTGGAGGATAATCCAGATGAATTCGGCAACTTGGAAATAACGTTTCAACAAGAAGGTGCTCCTGCACACCATTATGGTGCAGGAAGACGTTACCTAGATGAAAAATATCGTGGTAGATGGATTGGACGACGAGGTACGATAGAATGGCCAGCTCGGTCACCGGACCTCACATCATTAGATTTTTTTTTGTGGGGATACTTTAAATCGAAAGTTTACGCTACGGCAACCGACAATATTGACATTTTGAAACAACGAATTGTTGAAGAATGTAGGGCAATTTCCTTCGACACATTTAAACGAGTACGGTAACAGTTTAGAAATATGATGCATTACTGTCAGGAAGTAGATGGAGCACATTTTAAACACTTACTATAAGAACTGGTTGTTAAATATTTATCAATTCAATGAGAATCTACAATTTTAGTATTTATTTAATTTATTCATCAAAATAAGCTTAAACTCAAACAAAATTGGTCTGTTTATTACCTCCCTCCAAATTTCACTATTACAAGTATAACCGTTCAAAGGATACGAAGGGGGGAACGGACTTTTGACTAGCACTGTATATGTATCTTTTAATTTCTGTGTCTCAATTTTTTTCAATCTAATGCTATAATTTTAGTTACTAATTATATTATTTTAAACTTATTGTATTTAATTTGAGTGGTTCAAAATTGTCTAAGTCAATTTTGACCGGACACGGTGTGTAAAGATAAATTTCGTAACAATTAATTTGTCGTTCCTGTAGGAAGTTAGATATCAGTTATAATACGTAATGATATTATATTCGCCTATTTGATTGAACTGCTTATATTGAGGACAAACCACAAAACCTTTTTAAATATCACTTACACTATAATCTTCTAGATAAACTATAAAACGAAAAAAATAGTTTACCTTTCGCAATAGGAAGAGTACAGAAAAAAGATAAGCAACCTAAAGTTCCGTAATGGGAACCTTAAAGAAAAGCTTTTTAAATCATGAATGTGTTGCTTGTGTGAGTCCATTTCAAATAGGTAAAAGAAATAATAAATAAGACTTACAATCAGTT